CAAATTCGGTATTTTTTGTGTGTTAAAAATCTGTATATTTCGATTTTCAGATTCGGTCACACTGTCATGAACACTTACGGTTTGTAGCTGAAAATAACAATTAATTTTAGTTAATTTGCTCACCACAAAAACAATATACTACCGAACCAAAGAGGGGAGCGACAGAGAATTTTATGATCGATTTGCGTTTATAAGTGCAGTTCAATTTCATTCTATTTTGTATGCGCTTTGTTATTGATCCTTTCTAGCCCACCTCACGCACACACACACGCACACAAACGAATCTGTGTACATTTTTATGTGTAATTTATTTTTTGTGTAATGTACAATTTTTTGAAATAACACAAACGTTTCAAGACAACAACAAACCACAACACCCGAAGAATTAGCATAAACAAACTGAAAAAACGCAAAAACAACGAAACCCTTTCCACAACCGTTAAAAGAATGGCCAAAATGTACGGAAAGGGTAAGAGTAAGTAAAGCCAACAAAGAAAACATGAAAATACAAACATTTTTCACTTTTTTCTTTTATTCTACATTCCTCCTCATACGCATTTCCTTTCGCTTTAAAACAAAATAACGCACGCTATAAGAGGAAAACTAAACACTAATAGGATTCTAGTTGAATGCAGACGATAACTGTTAATAATTTATTTTGTATAACTATTTAGCGGCCATCGAATCGGAGGATCAACAAAAACGTCGCTGGCAAATCGAGCTGGAATTTGTGCAGTGCCTGTCCAATCCCAATTATCTCAACTGTAAGTCAAACAGAACATATATGTATATATTTGAGCAAGAATAGAAAATATACTATGTATTAGAATAACATAAAGTAATAGTTTTTAACTAAGCTAGATATTATTTGAGTATATACATACATATGTAAGTATGTGATCTGTTTTTGATCTCTGGGTAAGCAAATAAATCGAAACATATTTATAAACGTAAGTTGAAGCAATAAGAAATGACATAAGGCACATGATTAATACTATTTGGCAACTAAAATAACTCTTACATAATTATTCGAAGATTTGTATTCAAAACATATTCCATTCTATTTGCAGTTCTCGCACAGCGTGGCTACTTTAAGGATCCCTGCTTTATCAACTACCTCAAGTATCTACAGTACTGGAAGGAGCCCGAATATGCCAAGTATCTGATGTATCCGATGTGCCTATACTTTCTCGATCTGCTGCAATACGAACATTTTCGTCGCGAGATCGTCAACAATCAATGTTGCAAGTTCATCGACGACCAGGCCATACTGCAGTGGCAGCATTACACGCGCAAGCGCATCAAGCTGATCAATTCGGTGCAAGAGAACGCGGCAGCAGTTGCTGCAGCTACACAACAACAACAGCAACTGCAGCAGCAGCAGCAGCAACAGCAACCACAGCAACAGCAGCAGCAGACCAATGGCGGCATATTGGCGCCAAGTGAAGCGGCGTCTGTTGCCGCCGCCGAGGCCGCCAATCCGCTGCAGCAGGCGACATTGCAGAACGGTAGTAGCTCCACCTCGCAGTCACAGCAGCAGCCGCTGACGGCAAGGGAGCCAGCGCCTACGCAAACTCAGGTTTTGTCAGCGGCGCATCAGCTGCCGCAACAGCAACAACAGCAACAACAACAACAACAAATCAACGGACTGGCTAGCAGCGCAGCCATGAAATTAGAGTTAAATTAGCTAATGGCTGAATAAATACAATAAATTTGATATAGGAAATTGTTAGCTGAAAACTTGGCTTCTAAGGGAAAAACAGCCGTTGGGAGAAGATATTGCTAATTAGCATAATCCATTCCATTTGGCGCGCTTTTCCTGTCGCTCTCTTTAGACGTTCGTTAGCTTAGCCTAGTCGCACTACAATTTCATTGCTAATTCTACGTTTGACACTTGCAGGCGGCAAGGAAGCTCTGGCCCAGAAGGGCCATTTCTATGGCGTCTATTTGCTGTGCAGTCAAAGCGTGGACGTAAGGCATCGCGGCAAATGCTATGTGGGCTTCACGGTCAACCCCAAGAGACGCATTAGGCAACATAATCGAGGCTCCAGCTTTGGCGGCGCCAAGAAGACCAGCAGGAAGGGACCCTGGCAAATGGTGATGATTGTGCACGGATTCCCGAACAAAATCGTCGCACTGCAGTTCGAGTGGGCGTGGCAGCAGCCAACGTTGTCGACGCGTCTTAAGATCTTTGACGACCTAAAGCGCAAGCTGCCACGCGAGACGCATTTCGATTACAATTTTCGCATAGTGAATCGAATGCTGGGAGTAGGTCCTTGGCATCGGCTGCCACTCACTGTGCGCTGGCTGGAGACGGACTACCAACGAGAGTTTCAGTTGCCTGTGCCACGACAATTGCGGATCGTAAGCGGCAAGGTCGCCATAACGGCGTCGCAGCGGTCCTTGGCTGCGAAGCGATCTGCAGCTGCAGCTGGAGCTACAGCTTCTTGGTCATCTGAGTGTCATCTGTGCATGCAGCGAATAGAGCAGCCGGAGCGCTCCCGCTTCGGTTGCCTGAACGCCAGCTGTTGCTTGAGCTGCCACATGCTGTGCCTGGCCAGCTACTTGCTTGGGGAGGACCCTGGTCAGTATATTCCCATCGTCGGAAACTGTCCTTTGTGTGAGACACACTTAATCTGGGCAGAGCTGCTCGAGCGGAAGAGGTTCGAGCAGGGCGTACAGATTCAGGGGGAGGATACGAATAAGGAAGAAGATGGAGATGAGTTAAGCGATTGTCCCGATATGGACAGCGATGTGCAACACATCTGGGAGCTGAGTGATTAAAATTAAATAAACATTTGCATCGTTTCATAGTTCCTTTAATGGCAACAATTGCTTTCTAATGTTGGCCAGCGTGCGCCTGTAGCTGTTCAGCTGTTCCATCAATTGGCGTTTCTCCTGCAGATAGTATTCCCGCGACATTTGCACGTACTGCTCGCCCTTGAACTTGAAGATAGACACCTCTGATGTGTCTATCAGTTGTTCATCAGTGGGCTGCGGCGCCTTCTCATCCTCCTCCTCCTCCTGTTCCTGTGGCGTCGTAGGGCGAGGTCGCTTGTGAGTAGACGGGATGATGTTGACCTCGACTGTATTTAGAGAATGACATTAGATATGCATGAGTACTAGTACAACTGCACTGCAAGCCTTACTTTTCTCAAACATATCAACTTGTGGGTCGACGACTGTTTTGGTCGTGGACTCCACCATGATAACTTTATCAATGCTTAAGTCATCGTCGTCCATATTTATGTAGAAACTTTGCTGGGAGGAAGATGAAATATCCTTGGGATCGTCTTCAGCCAACTGAATTTTGTTGCCCGTCGAGTTGATGTAGTAGCTCTGCTGTTCAGTTGAAGACGTCGCAGCCATTTCCTTGGTATCCTGAGCTGTTTCCGTTTTATTGAGATCTTCGTATGGGAAAGGCAGTGCTTCGCCCAGCAAAATGCGACGATTCCTAGTTAATGACAAATATTTGGCATCGAAATGTTTGGAGCACATATATAGCTGCATGGGTCCAATTTTGGGATGCACTTGACCAAGTATACGCCATTGCTCGGCGCGCTTTGGATCCTTGGGGAATGCAAAGAGTGTCACCTCGCTACAGCCACTGTTGTCCTGGCGATAATAGAAATTGTGGCAGTCTTTGTAGGCACAGAGACGAGTGCTCATCTTAAATTTTAGTTTTTATTAAGTTCAATCAAATGATTTGCTGCTCGCTTTTAGGTACTGCTTCCATTCCTCTTCGCTCTTTTTCTATGCAAAACAATCATTATTTTTGGACCATTTAACAGCACTGGTTTCCATTGAAATATGTATAATTACATCACTAACCAGAGAACACATAGACCGGACACGTAGTGCAAAGCGTTTTGCACA